CATTTCTGACCTCCTGCTAAATTATGAACCATCCAGATCTCTCAGGTCTTCAGGGACTGGTCAGCTTTCTATCCCCAGAGTCAGAACTAAACAGGGTAAAGCAGCGTTTAGTTATTATGATCCGAATATCTGGAACAAACTCCCAGAAACCTGCAGGTCTGCTGCAACTCTGACTACTTTTAAATCCATGCTGAAGACTTTTCTTTTTGCCGCTGCTTTTAATTGAACTATTCATATCTTAAACTGCACTGTAACTTTTATCCATGTATTTTTTCTTTTAATGTTTATTTTATTATCTTTTCTTTTTAATGACTGTTTTTAAATGCCTTTGTCTGAATGTCTTTCATTTTTGTAAAGCACCTTGAATTGCCTTGTGTTGTAAGGTCCTATATAAATTGCCTTGCCTTGCCTTGCCTTGCCTTGCCTGGCCTGGCCTGGCCTGGCCTGGCCTGGCCTGGCCTGGCCTGGCCTGGCCTGGCCTGGCCTGGCCTGGCCTGGCCCTGCCTTGCCTGGCCTTGCCTGGCCTTGCCTTGCCTTGCCTAGGTTAAGTCCTATTTGTCCATGTGACCCTTAATCTAATTTGATGTTTGACCAAGATGTACAGCATACATTTGTTAAACTCACCTTTACTCTCTTGCTCTGTGTCTAGGAAATCCGGCAGGCGGACCCTGACGGATGAATTGAGGACACCAGTTGAATGTTGCCACTATGTGTGGTCATGTGTCTAAGCCACGCTCCTTCTTAGCACATGGGATCTCTCTTCCTGCTACCCACTTGCCGTTGTCCCCCTGTTGCCCTGTTTTCAGCATGAGAGGATCTGTCAAACGCTTGACCTCTTTGCCCTCATACTGGCGCTGCGGCTGTGCGGCGTGAGCCCCCCCCCCTCCGGCAGTATCTGCACGGCATGGCCTCTCTGGACCTGCCATACCGCTGTCCTCGCTGCGGGGAGCACAAGCGCTTCCGAAGCCTGTCGTCCTTACGTGCCCACCTGGAATACAACCACACATACGAGACCCTCTACGTCCTCTCCAAGTCCAACAGTGTTTGTGACGCTGCTGCTTTGCTGCCTCTAGTGGCCCAGGGAGCTCTCCTCGCTCCTGTGAACAGCAACGACCCCTTCGAGCCGCTGCGACCCTCGGCTCTAAAGGAGCGCCGCTTCCCTTGTCGGGAGCTTCCTTGTGCGGACGACTTGTGTTTGACCCCGGCTAACTCCAACACTGCAGCCCGGTATATACCCAATGTGGAGTTTCCCCTGGGGGAGATTTTTATGAAGAAAGCCATGACATCTGCAGACCCTGGTCCCCATGGAAACCCCAACACAGCTGTAGCGGTGGCAGCTAACGTAGCAGCTAGTGCGGTGGAGGCAGCGTATGAGGAGGGCTTAGCCAGGCTAAAAGCCCGGGCGTTTGAGCGGCTGGAGCTGGATGAAAGGCTGGAGAAGCTTTCTGAAGAGGTCAGTATGATCATTAAGGTTTTCAGAATTAACTTGGTTAGCCAAGTGTGGCTGATATAGTTACAGACAATCTGCGAAGTAGAGATTACAATCTAAACAGACAAAGAAAACTTAAAATAAAAGTATAAGTTTATATCACCCCGTGTTGTGTTGAATTACAACATTTCTGACTTTAGCACCCCCTAGTGGTTCTACCAAACAATATGACGTGAAGATGTTCTCTGACAAAAATGTTTTTAAAAGAATGTGGTAACTACTTAGCTATTGATCTAATTTGTATAACTAGTTATGCTTCACACAATGTTGGTACTTTAACGGGACAATCGGCTGCTCAAGTTCCTCTTTCTGATGCAGGTGGAGCAGAAAATAGCGGTCCGCGTTGGTCGTCTTCAGTCAGAGCTGGAGAGGAAAAGCTCTGAGCTGGAGCGGGCCAAACTGGAGAGCGACCATCTGAGCCAGGAGAAGCAGGACCTGGAGGACAAGGCCTCCGAACTCTCCCGGCAGGTGGACGTCTCTGTGGAAATGCTGGCTAACCTCAAACAGGACCTGGTGAACAAGGAGCAGGAACTCAATCACAAACAGCAGTAAGTGATTCATCTGTTCTTCAGACTCAGTCTAGTCTTACAGCTGTAGCTGGCTTGTTGGTGGTTTTCCTAAAACGGCTAATATTTGTTCATGAATTCACATTTTAAAGAATTAGTCCACTGCTTGGAATGAGTGAAATGTGAACATTTGCTGGTTTTCATTACCTGTGATGCAACAACTTTGTGTTTTCGCTGTTGGTTAGGAGGTAAAGATGTCACCTAAATTGTCGATTGGAATATCAATCCCTATTTCAGCCCTAATTTTCATTGTGATTTCAGTTTGTTGGTGGATCAATCTCTCTTGCTTTTACAAAGGTTATTGTTTACATGGCTTATGGTGGGGTCATTATCATTAACTATCATTATCATTAACATTTATTCAAGGGGCATCTCTTTCACAACAATGCTCTAAATTCAGATTTACAATGTTCTAAATTAACACACAGATCAGCAGTGTACTGTGTACACCACAAATGATAACAACAACAGTGAGGAAAAAGTGTAATAAAACAAATAACTAGCTGAAATGTCGGTAAAGCCCCTATCACACTGTCCCGAAATTGACACCCGATGGACACACGAATATGGAATTGTGAATTTTGCACGAAGATGGCCCCGAACCACACACAAAGGCAACATTTACATTACATTTAAGACATACAACTGCAACGAAAGTAACAAAAACGATTATGTTAAAGTACTATGATACTGTACTGATATTTTCAGACTTTGTTCTTTACTTTATCCGTCTTTATATGTAGAAGATATTAAGTTTTCTCCGTAATGTTGTTTCCATAGCAACAACAACTTCCTGTCAACTCGCCTTCGAAATAATATATTATATCCTTTTCAGTTTCACAGAACACAAATTGGGTTATTTACATAATATGTTTACATGATTTTGTTGTGCAATAAAACAACCCGACGGACACACGATAAAGGAAATGTTCAAATTCGG